TGTTCGACCCATATAAATCTCTACTATCTTATGATAATTTGTGAAGCAGCAGTAGTGTCGGTAGCATAGTATAAGTCTGATTCCATAAAGTTCACATGAATGTTTTGAAAATAACGAGATAATTTCAGCAAGACTGAAGTGTATATGGTGATCATCTTAAGAAAACTTTGAGTAGTAGACTGTGGTACGACAGTAGTTAAGGTCAACAGAAAATCTAAGTATCAGTCTTTGGAGGTGTTTGTATTCATTACAGTATTTTTTCTAAATGAATCACGGGAAACGACTACTAACTCGGTTAAAAGTCACATTCCAGTAGATTGTGGAAACAGTGAAGGACTCAAATTGTAGGCTTTAATTGATTAGTCTCTTATTTATTCCACTTTGCTAAGATGCTAACACACCTACTAAACACAAGTTACAGCATGAATTAAAAAGCCGAACGTTTTGAAGTTGGTATAACAATCACCTCTACACAGTGCAGCTCAATTATGAATCATAATATTGGAAAGATTCTTATGTTGTTACTATACTATTATCAACTTTAATTAAATAATTTCCCTTCGTATGCTTTCATATCTCAGAAGAAAAATTATCATTAAGATGGGACTCTTTATACACTGGAGGATTGCCTTTAACATTTCTTCCACACGGCACTGATTAATTTGATAACTACTCGGAATAAGTCTTTTTTCTCCATGGTCACTTCTACTGGTCAGACTATAATAACTCACAGTACCGATTCATGTACCTTTACAGATTACTTCTAGTAGAAATCCAGTATTCTGAGCTTAGTGGAATTATTGTAAATGCAGCAAGAGGTTTTAGTTCAGTTATTGAATAGAAGTTAGTACGAATACACTTTAAGCTAAACACTCACTCACAATTATAATTCTGACTTACATGGTACCTTTTCATTGGTGGGAGATCTGATGAGCCAGCAGGCACGGAAGCAAGGTATATCTGCAACCTCGAAGGAACTGTTATCCCCTTTAAGGCTCTAAACCTTGTCATCCAGGTTTGCAGCCAGTGACATTACCAATGAGGTATTGGGGCTGTGACTGACCACGTGTAGGACTAGATTAGATATGTTGTGCTGTCTACCGTTAGAGTTTGGTCAGCACTCAGGACTAGATAACATGAAATCGGTTGCTACGTAGTGACGACTGACTTAAGCTTACTCGAATTCTTGTTATTGTTAACGCCGTTTTAGGAAGACTGATACTAACTTGACACCAAGTGAGAAAATCATACCTTAGTTGATTACGAGGCACTTGCATTTGGATGCTGAAAATATACAGAAATTTATTATTAATCTAATCTATTGTTCATCCATATCTTCAACGATTGTACATCCATACCATTGCTTACGATCTTAACAAATCAGTTTATCCAAAGTTGAATTTCCAAATTATATACACAGAATTAGAATTAACTCCTTTTGCTGTCTGACTGTTCAAGAGAGATTTAAGTTCGCTAGCCATTAGAAATTCCATATGAAAGCAAACACAAGTGATAAATACTTCTTTACGGTAGTTATTACAGTGGCAGTTCTATTTTCTAAAACGTATATAGTGGTTAAATAAGAGTGTAGCACTCAATTAATCGCATATCGGATTTCCAGTATACGCTTTAAACTTAGTGATGTTGTGAATAGCGTTAACAATCGAACGAAACCTGAAGGTATCTTTTAACGAACTAGTAGTTCGACAATCGGTCAAGTATCATGAATAACTGCTAACATACTGTGATGGCGACGAAACATTTTGTAACCGAAATATGTAAACGTCATTCTATTAAGTTATTAAGATGGATAACAAAACAAAGAATCAACGAAATCAAATGTATCAGAGAGATTTTGGTTCAATAGCCTCTTCTTTACTATTTTGCACAAGCCATTTCACGACTGAATGATATAGAAAGTTGATCATGTCTAGTATTCGAGGGAATACCTTTTTTGTGTAGAACAACTTCGCCTTTCGGTTTCTTATTAAAATACACCAAAAATATATTCCACTCAGTCCATTACTAGATATGATATACTCTCTGCACCATTCAATTATGAAATGGCTTGTGCAAATAATTGCATCAGTAAAGAAAAGGCTTTTGAAGCATAATCTCCGTGAGATATTTGGTTCCGTTCAATCAAATGTAGCCGTCATCATTACTGAGCTGAAAGTTGTAAATTTTGTGCCATTATAGACAATTAGCTTCACTTGGTTGTTTGAACGTACGGTGTTACAGAGGAACATATTTAATTTTTGCTCAAAGATTCATTCATAAACACCTGCACAACTTCTAAAGACAGTAACAAAGTGTTCATCAAAAGGAAAACCTATTTTATCAAGCAAACAACATCAAGTTAACTTAATTGCTCTAAATTTCACAATTTATTTCTAAGTGGTATTCTACGTTTGCAACAACCTTTCTTACTGGACGCACATTTCCTCAAACTGTTATTTTATACTACAAAGGCAAACAACAGTCATAATTTTCAAATTTAGTCACGAAATATTTGCACTTAACTGAAAACTACTGATTCATTCTTAACAGTGTTAATAACCAATTGATTGTTAGATGGTTTAATTGACCATCTTTACTTCAAGTTCATCAAGGAACTCACGCCTGTAACCGGCTTCTGAACATAGATAATCAGATAATGCTAGTTGTATGGAGGACACTGCCAGGCACATGCATCTATATCCAGTTTTCTAAGGTTTTCAATACTTAGTGAAACATATTTTGGTTAGATTGAAATCCTTATCGACTATACCACTTGAAAATACCGTTTCTCGTCCGATTACAAAAGTAATGCACGTAATTTTTATCAAACCAGGTTATTAATGAAACCCTTTTCTTATTGACCTTCAGTACTGTTTATCGCCAAGCAACTTTGAAGACTGATTTCATCTATTACTACCGGATGATTATTGTCATTTATAGTGCCTTAACTGTGAAGTAACCAGTTGATAAAAGGTTTTAAAAGCTGGGGCTCACTATGAACTCAATGAATACAGTCCTTACTAGTGTTAAACTAAATAGTCGCTTAGTTCAGCAAGTCTAACAAACAGTACGAAATAGTTGAAGAATCAAAGAAGTTATATTAGTCAATGGAAGGATAATGATGGAATGCAGTTTCCGCGTACAATAGAAACCTTCAATAACTTATGATTTTCACAGCTACAACTTCTCTTCCTTCTATTGGTATTCAATAATCCCTTAAATCACACAGTTCATAAAAGAATGCTCATGTGGTTTGGTTCTGTATTACATGTTTCTAAGCCTTATTTTCACGTACTGAAATACTTAATTCATCAAAATTCTGACACTGTGCAAGGTAAGGTTCGCCTTCGGTAGTCAAAGATCCCAGGAACTTAATAATGTGTGTGTCGTCACCATCTGTACATTGGTTCGAATAACAGTGATGGAAAATTGAAAATAATTTCACCTTATTTAACTAGGAAGTCGGTTGAAAATTCATCCCCTGTCTATTTAAGGTTTTGTAATCAAGACAATATACTGCAATATGGATATACTCAGTGTAATTGTATAGAGTTTTTCATTCACGTTGCCTAAGATTTCAAATATGCCAGTCATGTAAGCAAGTACCATTAAGTATACGAACACAGATTATTGTTCTATTGATGTATATTTACTAGGAGCTGAACTAAGAGCGCAAATGTTCGTGTAAGAAGCCTATTAACTGCTGAGACAAAATTATACCTACCAGGCTGATAATCTTAAAGTTTATTTACTGTCACGACAACCAATGGTGCTTAGTTAAGCATAGTCGCTAGTATTTTCTTCCTAATTATTGAAAGTTTTCTCTTGGTGGTGCTATACTTGAATTTCATTTTTCCAAACTAATGCTAACAAATAACAAAGTTTCAACCTCTCTTTCAGTCATTAAGCATGAAACTTGAATAAGTAATACATCATTGTTCATGCCTTATCGTTTAATTCCATAATATTTACGTTACACAATAGTAGATACCTACATAAAATGATTTCTGTTCAGTAATAATTTACACCCACTATCGGACGCTTGGGATGTATACTTTCCATGAGTCATGAATACAAAACAAAACAAATTATTCTACAGACTAAATTGTCTGATGTCTATAAGAGTGCGGACAGCTAAAACTTCATGGAAAAACAAGAATTACTAAAATATTATCATGCTATCACCCATGATATTTTGTGAATCAGTTAACTGAGAAGCAATACCATTGAAACATTTGTGTTCGTCGCTTTTCTAGATAATTTTGGTGCTTCATCATTCAGTAAGTTGTTGAGAAGAAGAGTGCGTACTACCATCATAAACTTTATTCCCATCTATTGAAAATTATGTGAAATGAAGTAACTTTCATATGTTTCAGATGTCAGAGAGCAATTAGACATAGGTTTCTGATGATCAGTTTACTTCTTACTGAAATATTCTCATCTGTCCAAAGTAATAAGTTTGTTCACAGACTTAAACCATAAGCTTTCATTGAGACTTTCAGTAACATAGTACTTTTCTAAAAATATCTTTATTTAGAGCCTTATATTATTGTACTTTGTCGAAATGTCATCTATAGGAACACTAGTTAACCTGTAAATTAATACAAATTAGAGTAGCTTTTATATATCAGGAAGGGATAATGAGTTATGGAGGAATTCAAGCGTATTTAATTCTTATATGTTACATCTGAGCCGATATCTTTACGAAGAAGTTTTCATTGCTTCACAACTATTCAAGGTTTGTAAGGAAAGAATAGACCTATTGTCTTAGTATAGGAATTTACATCAATGCGTCTGCCAAAAGCTCAGAAGGACCAAGCAAATAAACACATAAAGTCCATTTTACTAATTACCGCCAAGACTCAAAATTGTACTGCGCAAAAAGGGGGGGGGGACAAGAGCTTAATTAAAATACCTACTAGATATATGCTGTTCTTCTTATCCAAAAGATTAAAAATATTTCAAAATAATGCAAAATGTACCTAGAAGAATTTACTTACCTAGATAGAAGTTGCTCCGAATTACGAATTCCAGTTGAAGTACTGTTTTAAATATCAATGGTCACTAGATGGTTTATTTGACTAGTTTTAAGGGGGATGAAACAGGGAATTTCTGTTTATGAAGTTATATATCTCAGTTACATTAAATAATGAAGCAAGAAAGCAGTGATGTTTGTTGATTGTCTTTTGTTCCTTCTTATTGTGTAGACACACATACGTAAACTGCTGTTGTATATTCGGTTGTTTTACTACGGTGTGTATACTTGTTTATTTCGTAGAATTTCTAGAAAAAGAATTGAGAACTAATATTTCCCTCTTCCCGTTCGTCTGGTTTAATTAACCACCGTTTAGTTCTTTTGAGAAAGGATAGAATTTATTGCTAATTTTTAATGTCCGACACAATAGCTCTTATCGTCTTTTTCTTATAACATTAGGTGATAACATAAGTAGTTGTAGTAGTAACAGTAGTAGTAAAAATAATAATGGTTATGAGAATAGTGAAATGAGGGTAGAAAGGGATGAATTTTGTCCGACTTGGCGTATCAAAAGTTAGAAATTCGTTCACCTGCCCCTCGCCATTCAATTGACCCACCTACCTACTCCTATGTATACTACACATAAACAAAGATTCCTAGTAAACTTTACGTCCTGCTGTCATATTCTGTCTCACTTTTTAAAGAATATACTCACAGACACACAACCACACGTATATAAACGGTTTGGCGTAAACAAACAACCAGGTCTGTGACCCACATTCACATACATTGTTTAATGCGGGCTGCAACAAGGTTGGTTAACATTGGCAGTCATGCGCCGATTTTCTAACCCCACCATTATCCTATCATAGTGATAAAAAAGTGTTCTTGTGAAAAATATATCTCTCAAAGAGAAAAGGGATGGAATTTGAACAAAATGCTTTTTCTATGTTTAATTGAAATCAAAAGTCAAACTACTTACAGCTAATTCAGTGTAACTCTAGAGGGAATAGGACAGTAAAGTAGTGCCTGCAATTTCACCGTTGAACATACCGAATGCATATTAAATTGTGATTTGAGTAAATACAAATGTTTTTTTTTAATCCAGTGAAGTCTACCTAATTGGTAAATTTTTATTTTTTTATTCAGAAATATTAACACGTTTATGCCTGACGTAGATTGTCGCCGGTCTGTCTAAACAATCAGATGGACTTTCTCAGCAAAACAACAGGTTTAAACCTATCCGCTGAAAGTATAGTGATTGGATTAGATAGGCTACCAATGAGATTTAAGCTTCATATGGATGGAAAGCAACCCCACACAAAATCAAATATAAAATGCACATTACACTGGCAGATTTTAGGTGTTGGTCCCACCTGAAACAAAATACAGCAGGTGCCTGCCTGTCTGTATACACTAGACAAATCGGCGCCTGGTTAGTACATGTCAATGATTGGTTTACTTTTCAGGCGACTAAAGTAGTGCTAGACCTTGAAATGCCCTGTTTTAGTTTTCAATGTAGGTGTGAAAACTGGAATAGAAAGTATGTCAGAGATAACTGTAATTTTCTTCATAAGGATATCTGTCGAAAGTTTCAGTTTTCTTCATATGAAGCGTATATCGATTTGACAAACGCAGAAATGCTGAGCAGAAACCATAGCATCACTATGGAATTTTAAATATTATCTTTAAAACAGAGTGAATGAAATATCCACTAAAATCATTCATTTAATCAAAACATATAAATCTTTTAAACCCAAAAGTCTAATTCTAGTATTTTCGACAATTAAAATGGAATTGATTTTTGTTGGAATTTGTTGATGATAGAATGGAATGGCCTTCTCATCTGTATCATTTCAGTACGACGTAATAAGAATGAAGATCTCTTGGCAGCCTGGTCGGTAATCCTAGGTTAATCAAGTATTATTTTCTTAAAATGGAAAATAAATTTACTTCATAGTGAATTTCAGTCTTGTTATCATTGAAGATCAGTATTGATCTGAAAGCAGCTGGAAACTAAAAGTTCTGAAAAACCTTATCATCAACAAGGACAATAAGGACAACCACTCGATTAGTCAGCAAAAAATGTTTTGACTGAATTTTCCTTCTCCTCTGTTAGGATAAGCGGATCAGTAAGAATTAAGATTAACAGATGTATTTACACACTTTTATGCATTATCATGAACCTTGAATGACTAATATATTAAAGTGTTGAAATAATAAATCTGACAGTAGTTGGGAATAGTTACGTTTAGCAGCGTATTCATAAAGGTGAGACTAAGTAAAGGTGGAATTCAAATTTATGACTTTATTCATTCATATCTTGATTCTGTTAAATGGGAGTGTTCCGAAGCACAACTCTTAATAGGCACCAACTGTATGCATATTTTGATAGTCGCATATTGGTAGATTGACAACTTTATATCACGATTTCAATGATCAAATAAGGGTGGTAAACGTGTGACTAGATGGACTTAGATTACACCTTAGTTATAACATCTACACCCTAAAATCTAGTCATAAGCCAGCTGATTATAAGCGGAATCAGCAAATCATTTAAGAACTAATTAGTACAAAAGTAATCAAAGGACTACGTCTAATTATGTAGCCTGTATGGTCTAGTAGTCAACATGTAATTAAAATTTTTGAATTTTTGTCTACCAGTTCATCTGGCTGGGGCAAGATGGAATGCCATCTTTAAAACCCTGAATGGATTGAACAGGTCCAAGTATTTCACTTCATTTGGACAGGAGAATAGTTGGTAACAATGAATGAAAACCTGAAAGAGTTTGAATAGTAATCGTGAGTTACTGCGAATATAAAAGTTAAGCTACTAAGTTCCATAAGTCAGTAGAAGATGCCTCTTATGAATGTTTTGCAGAGAGTCTTTGGTCTGAATGAGTTTTTACTGAAACTTATAACCAATATAATATTTGGGGGTGGATGTGTTAAAAGTAGTCATTACTGTTAGGGTTCTTTTGTGTAACCAGTACTGAAAAGAATGTATGTACCTATTGGTGAATGACTGGCAAAATGCCTGAATTCACTAGTGTATGAAATCTTTTAATCCCTAATCGTTGTAAACAAACTCACTTTGAGAACAATGAACTCTACTAAGCGATGGATTTCTCAAGCTTTTCGGAATATACTAGGATTTACCAGATTTAAAAAACTAGGTAAGTTTAATAGAACTGCACAGTATGTCACTTTCTTAAGGCGATTGATATGCAAAACAAGAACCTCTTAGTGTGTGAATTATTGCGTATATTCAAGGGAAGAATGTCGAAAGTACTTCTTTTTAACCAACTGTTATATAAGTACAGGATGGAGGCAGCATTTTCTGTGAATTTTCGTTGGCTATTTTCCGTCCAAACATTACTAGGATGATATTGGTATACATAGGAAGTGGTCCAGTCAAGTGAATACATCGTTACTGTACAGCTTCTGAGTAATCTAAAGGAAAGTTTGAAAGTATTTTGAACAGATTTTAGCACTTATTACTAGTTTGCACATGTTTCACTCAATAAACGGTGAATATCTTACTGTTTTAAGCTCACCACTTGCTTGAAAAGTGATTCAAAACTAAGTAGAAAAATACTTTGGTGTCGAAGGAAATCTGTTAACGTCTATATGTAAAGCTCATATGTGCATTCGGTATCAGATATGGATGTTAAAGAGCAATGTCAGTAGCTGCAATCAGTAAACTTGGAATGATTGGTATGCACTGAGGATTTTGAATGTTTTTATTTTTTACCGGCAGATTAACTATAGTTCAACAAAAAAGTGTTACCTGCAGCTGATTTATACCACTTCTGATTACGTGAATATTTGATCATGCCAGTGCAGAAGGACACACCGTAAGAGCAGGATTTGTACATTATGATAAAACATAATTTTAAACCAAATGAATGTGTTTGATGATATAGCACACAGTGAAGACTAAGTATTCACCAGATAGTATCTAAATTTGGATGTTTGTGAGAATTTACTTATTGATTTCAGGTTGGTATTCATCACGGACTAACATAAATTGCAGAACCACTGAAAACCTAAGACCATTGGACGACCGTTTCAGATCAGTGCATAACGATTGCTTTGCCAGAGACTTACCTTTAGATACGATTTCTCGAAGTTCTAATAAGAGATCGTGACCAGTGGAGTAAAGCAAGTAAGGGTGAGGACAGGCATTTAGGGATGCCATTGGACTAAGTTTGCACTGTATTGTGAACTGAAAGAAGTAGGAAAATGTGAACTACTAGACTCCAACGTAGGGGCTGTATGGTAAAATGCTGGCTGTGGAACTTAAAGTTGGATTTGATTGGTGACACGACAAGGTCATGGGTGAGCAATGCTCAAGAGTCCCATTCTAGGATGAAACAAATGTTTAGTGCCCCAAGGTTCTAATGGTTATCCAACTGAAGTCCATCCATGATAGGTACCAACTTGCAATTTACTGGAAAGTTCGGTAAATAATACAAATCCACTTTGTTCTATGTTCAACAAACTTATTCAATCTGGAATTAGAATGGCATATCACTTCGTGCAGACCCGACGGAATAATGTAATATGTTGAGAATTCAACACTTTTTCCAGTATGTTTTTTTAAAAATAAAGGAATGATTACTTGGGAAGTGATCTGAACTGACCTGTTGACTGACCATTGTGTTTCATACGTTTTCAATATCGCATCCATCGAAAAATTCAACATTCTTGCAGTAGCATTGCTACAAACATGGCGGTAGATTTAAAAATTGGCATTTTTCGGCTTTTCATCCATCACATGATCTAATACTATGCAAGATAGTATTCATTCAATTTCGGACTTGGCATCAGCTCTTTCTTATTCAATTTCCAGAAATGAACGCGGTAAACCTTTCGATTTTGTTATATATATATATATATATATATATATATATATATATATATATATATATATATATCATCTTTCTGTTTTTTTCATGAAAAGAATAGAGAAGCAATGAAATTTAATAGCTGAAGAAAATCTGCATATTTTGTTAAAGTCTAAGATCGTTTACATTAGAAGGACTTAACCTACAGATAACAAGGGTCAGTTATAAATAACCATGACTATGAATAAAAAAACTGTCATAATTCCCTTAAGTATCTAAATTATATCCAAGGGGTCCGCATACCTACACGTTTGATAAGTCTCATACACTAGAGAAAACCTAAACTGAATAGAAAAGTTAAAGAAAAGAATAGAATGTAATTCTTTAACATATTAAGTATATTCTAGATCAAATAAGCAGTTTTTCAAACCAATAAAATACCAAATCTGACCAGAGTACTGTTTGATTTCAAGTTCGTTTTCTAAGCGGACAACAATCAGAGGGCGAACTATTGCAAATCTAGAGCCATTGAAAGGATGTTAATTCCTACTTCGAGTCCTCTCAGCAGTGAAGATCCACAACTGACAAGTTTTGAGGCAAGCATATCACTATTCAGCTACGGAGTTGAAGTCCATCTCACTCTACTTTCCTAATTCTACTAATTCGCGATATAGTGAGTCATCCACTTGGTATCTTAAGCAGGTACCTATCCAATTTTATTGACTCTACAAAATATGACTTTTCACTGGAACCTCACAAAATCCATCTTATCAGATGATAGTTACTCTACATCACAAATCGACTGAAAGAAGAAAGTAAGCAGCAGAGAATCTCACCCCAGTAGCTTCACACCAACATACCTACTTCAAGACTTAAAGTTTTCAACCACAATCTGTCATGAAACTATATCTGTCTGTTGTTGAACAGTTCCTAAATAAGAATAAACACCATTCAAGTGGTGTTAGATTTCCAATAATTCCTCAGTCTCATGCACTAATTCCCTTTATGAACCTCAAAACAACGTGAACTACAATTGGACCAAGATAAAATGGGTCCATTCCGTTTCGGTGGTACCTTTTCAATTGCCTACAATTTAGAATATCAAAATATGTCGTTTTACTGAATACTTAAAACACTTTAATTCACTGAAATAAACAGACTATCTGTTGGCTTTTAAAGACTGACAGAAACAGTCATGAAGTCAAAGTCAACTATAAAGGTAGATTCAGGGAAGGTTAATAAATGGTAACAAACTGTCGCAACTATTTACTTAATCCAATGGAAGTTTAACGAACACAAATAACGTTAAGAGTAGCAATCCGAGTAGAAAAACTTGACTTTATAAG